AGCCGGAGGCTTAGAAGGGGCGTCCGAACAGTTACTGGGTGAAGGCACCCGAGCCACCCATGGCGCGTAACCCACTTTGTGTTCAATTTTCAAATAGCGCGCAAGCAGTTTTCGCATGAGTGGGGATCTACCCTTGGCCGAGATTAGTACGTCCCGACAAGCGTTGTTATCGATAAAAAGTACCAAGGGAACATTTCTCAGTCGGCTCCGCCAAGCAAGAATAGCACATGACGCGGCCACAAACTCCGCTGCCATTATGATTGTGTCACTGGAGCCTTCACCCAATTGGGCTCGCTCGCCAGCTTCTAGCTGGTGGGAGAAACCGGCCACTGACCCTTATGATTGAACAGCATACCCCCTATGCCACATACCCAATCGTCGTGTGGATTGTAGCAAGCATCGGTGAAGATGTACATTGGCTCTTGAACGTCAACACTGACCATGCGTGGACCAGCATTCTCTAACATCCAAGAAAAATTTTCCAAGGCCGAAATGCTCATGGGAGGAAGCATGGGGGGATGATCGCCATAAGCATAATCCGTCAAAGTGTTGAGGAAAATTCGGAATTGGCGGCCCAGCACTTGCCCGCAAGCGAACTGCAATTGCCCTCTGAGCTTGAGAGCTTCTGGAACAGTCATGGTACCGCTGGCCAAGAAGCCACGTATGGACTCAAGGAGTTGCCGAATTCGTTTTTCAGTGTTGCATATTGTCACTCTTCCCAGGTGCATGTCAGACAGCACAAAGCATACGCCTAGCGCGCTGAAGGCTTCGGAGTAGGCCTGGCACTTAGCCCCTTCCTTCGCATAGGCCCACCCTAACAAAGTGAAGAAGGCATCGATGGTTCGGTGGTGAAATCCGTGCGCTCCGCGTCTGAGATTGAAATCAGGTCATCGTAGTAGCAAGACCAAATTAACCCCAGGAAGAAAGCTCCTAAGTGCCAAACTGAGTGTGTGACCCTCAGAAGAGAGAAGACTGAGCGTGAAGCCCCGAAGGGCAGAGCATGCAAAGCAAACACGGACACATCACTTGTCTGATGGTTCCACAGAGCAACATAGGACGCCCAGCGGGAGGCATCGCTCACAGCTAGCTGCCGGTAGGCTGAGACCAAATCGTATGCTCTCCCCTTATGTTGCTTGCCCGGCAGGTGCCTCATGGCTGATGCAATCATACCTGCAGCCACATCTACGGTGTGTGGAGTTGGTGTCTCTTCAGCCTGCACAGTGTCATTGATGCCGGAAGCAGATAGGTCGTCTATCAACCGGGTTTTATTGGGTTGGACTAAACCGAACCTACGAGAGACTAGGGAGTTAGGGGGGAGATGTTTAACATCGATAGGCCCTGTTGCCCAGCCTTTGTCAACCTCAGCCTGCGTCTGACGCAAAACCTCAGCATCTACATCCTGGCCCTGGCTCCTGACTGAATGGATGATAGCTTCGCGAACTGCTGGTGCACAGGACACTAAGTCCTCCACCGTGCGTTTGGCAGAACGGAATTTGATGTTGAAGATCCCCGTGGCCGGCGCCTCGCCAACCAACTCCGTTCCTTTAATAGTTTCATCAACCACATCAGTATCGGGGTAATCTGCCTCTTTGAGCATTGCCCGCCACACAAGTAGTCGTTTAGGTTGAAGAATCCTGCGCCTTTCCTTTGACATGCCTTCTTTGAGCTTTAACTCCTCGGCTTGCAGGTCCTGTGCCACTTTCAGCCATTTGGCGAAGAACACAGCTCTGGCTTTAGCAATCTCCTCCTGGGTACATGACTTGTGTTGCAAGATTGCTTCCTTGAGCACATGGGGGATGGCCGCCTCCAGCGTGCGTGGATGCCCGGCCTCTAGTGCCTTACTGAGGAATTCTTCTGGGCTCCAGGGCACACCCCAAACAACTTCGTTAAAGGCAACATCCCCTTTATCCGGCAGCCCATGTATTTTGAGGAGCTGAGTGTGAGCTGGCAGTTCAGCTACGTCGGCGGCTGCTGTTAGTGGAACGGGCCACGCCTCTTTGATGCGACCACGTGGCAGCACGGGCAACTGTGCAGAGGCAGGTAGGCACAACCGAACCAGGGTTTTGTGCTCGGGCACTAACAGCGGGGTTTTGGATGCTTTGGGTTGCTGAGCTACGGCGGACTGAATGGCATGCAAGGGTAGAGCCCCATCGGCAATGCCAGGCTGGCAGATCTGGGCAAAGATGTGAGCAAGAGCTTTGCACAGGGGTGCGGGATACGCGGATTCAGCTGATGTCGCAAATCCGTTTGAAGAAGATGCTGAGTGCCCCCAGTCGAGGTGGGTTGCCCGGCAAGCGGTACCTGGACAAACACGATTAACGGCGGCGAAGTGCTGGTGTTTGGAGGTGAAGGCCAGCGCGGTCCACTTGTCCCTTCGCGATCCATAGGCGCAATTTTGAAAAGCTGTAAAGCTAAACAGGTGCTTGATCCGCATGAAGGCGCTAGTGCGCCAGTAAAGGGATCTACGTGGGTTCTCAAGGACTATGACTAAACCCCTAGAGGCAGCAACCAGGACAAGGTCAGAGATGGCACGGTATAATGCGTTTGCTTTCTGAACCCTCAACTGGTCGCTGGGCGACAGATCGGCTAAGCCATCGGGCTCCTCTTCTGTTCTTAGAGGGGGCGGGCCAAAGACAGAAGCAATCTCTCTTGCGCGGCTGGCTGTTCCGCACACAGGCACACAGCGTGGATGAAGCAGAAGCTTTTTGGCAAGAGAGAAACCATGCTCAGAGCAGAGATCTGCCACTTGAATAGTCGTTTTGGCTCCAGGAATGCGCTTGTGGTCGAAGGCAACAGCGTCAAAATGGACTTCTTTCAGGGCGGCTGAAAGTCCGGCCGTGCCCGCACAGAGCTCTAAGATAAGCGGCCTATTTGCATGTGAAGAGGACACACGTGCTTCTGCGTCCAAAGAGGCAGCATGAGGCAGAGGCGGAGCTGCCCCCTGAAGATCCCCTGTTGCAAGGTCCGGCTGAAAGCCGAGCTGGAGAAGATGGGCGGCATCTGTTGGGGATAAGCTAGCCATTTGCTGCAGACAGTAAGAGACTAACACTATGCGAGAGCCTGACCATGGCTCTGTGGCACGCAAAGCTTTATAGGCTGGCAGGCGAAGTGCATTGTTGCGGAATGGCAGTACTTGGCCTGGCACTGAGCGACCATTTATAGTCCGAACATCCGTGCCGTGTGCATGTTTGCACCACACTGCCCCTCCTGAAAAATCGGAGATTTGGAAGACATGATTGTCACAATGGGCGTTGGCCACATCCTTGCGATAACCTGACGGGACATTGTCAAGAACGGCTATGCTGGAAAAGATGGCTTCGGGTTGTTCTTGCCGCACATATTTGGCAAGGACTTCGGTGCTTGCTGGGAAGCGTTTGCATGCAGCGCGCAGACCTACGATACCACCTTTGCGATAGGCACCAGTGTAGAAGGCAGAGCCACATGCGGCTGAATGGGGCTCCTCTCGCGGCAAAAGAGTAATTAAGTCAAGAACATGATTCCTTTCGACACGATCCTGGCTTAGCAGGCGGAGTGCCAGCTCTTCAGGATCCATAACAGGCACGCAAGCAGGCATTGACTCCCCAGAGCTATGCTGCGGTGGAAACGCGCTAGGCTGAGCATCACACACTTGCGGCGCGAAACTGCTTGGCGAATTGGTACTGCGCACTTCTGCGGAGCTGAGGCTTAGTCAACTCTTGGGATGGTCGACCATGCGGTGATTGCCATAACAAATGGCGCAGACATGCTTGCCCTTGGCGCATGACTCACCCAGCTTGCACTCCCCAAGTGAGTAGTCGAAGCAAATGCGGGAGCCATCAGGGGTCTCGGAGGTGCCGCCCCTACTACGTATGCCCCACGGGATCTTGATCGTACTTCAAGAGGCTGACTTACCTCTGCCTTTTCCTTTGCCTTGGCCTTGGCCTTTTGCATTACCCTTAGCCGCCTTTGAGGGGCGATCTGGCCACGACTCCTTGCGCTTAGGCGGCTGCTGGGGCAGGGGCATTAACTCGAAGCTGACCTCGTAGCTTTCGGAGTCTAAAGGCAGAGGATCACCTGGGCTGGGCCGAGGTTTAACATTCTTTTCGATGAGCCTTGACCAACATAGCCTGTCGGCTTCGACTAGTTGGCGAATTGTGCACCGTAGATATCCAGGTTTTGCTTCGCGGCGCAGGTGGTTAAAAAGGGTATTGAGATATCCCTCATAGTTAGGCCAATGAATGAGGTTGGCGAAGCAAAGTGCAAGCCCCCGTCTCCTGAAGGCATCAAAAACTGCCATGGCACCATGGGTGGGCGCCTCCGCCGGGTCAGTAGCTTCCTTAATAACCAATTTGCTGGCTTCGATGTCAACTTGCTTCGTGATTGGCTTGGCTTGCGCCACCTCGTACAACCTCGAGACGCATTTCTCTGGCGCGAGGTACACAATCTGGTTTGACGCTTCTATTCGCGCTACGGCATCAAGGAGGCACCTGGCAGGCTCGAGGTGGCCCTCTATCGTTATGCCAGGAAGGGAGCGCTTCAGGTTTTCGAGTCTGACATCGCGTTCAGCTTCAGGCATTTTCTGCTTGTTGGATGCGTCTGGGTCACTCACCTGAAGTCTCAAGGATGCAACGGTCAGGGTCTGACTCTCAAAAATCAAACGGCGCAGGCTGCTGATTTCTTCAATTGAGAAGCTGGCAAAGTGGGTGCTGTGCTGCAGAAAGTTGCAAAGTCCGACTCTGGCATAGGCACTCCCGGTTGGGATACCATGTAAGCAACTTGACTTAATGTTTTGAAGCCACGATTTTTCAAGACCACCACATTGGGATCTGTGATCCCTGCTTCCTTGGCTTTGCGCTCAAAATGAGCCTCCGAGTCGAGGACGGACACCATAGCTCGATGGACGTCAGCTTCCACCTAACAAAATAGGCAAACACTCTACACGCAGCCCAAAACTCCGTGACAGATGTACGGTCATGTTCCAAGACGAGCTTGTAAAACATGTGCATAGATGGTACCACTCGCGCTGTTTCTTCAAACATTTCCCGCCTGTGAAGCTAGGCTTCGCGAAAGAATACGGAGTGAACCCTCCAAGATCATCAAATAATTTCGAAAGGCTGTTCGGCCTTCTCAGTGCAAACATTCTGCACGAAAGCATACAAATCCAGCGAACTGGATGGGATCATGTACATTTCTTCAAAACCTGAGCCACATTGCTCAGATGAGTGCACATCGCACTAGTCCCGGTGGGGGGACTCACAGGAGACATCCTCCTTATGCACTGACATAGTGCATGTACACGAACATAGTTAGAGCTGCCTACGGCAAGACAAGCATACACGACCATCCAGGTCAGCATCCGTAACATCTCGGAACTGAGATGAGATTGCACGACCGCAACTTAACAAGCGCTCACCATACCTGAGGTGAAGCATGCCCGACTTTACATGAACCACCCACCGACCTCGGGAGATCTGCACTTCTTGTCGAAGAGTTGAGTCGACTTTCAGCTTTTTCCTGGACGGCACAGGCGTGCTAGAGGAGTCACTACTGGAGGAAGAGCTGCAACACTCTTCACCAACAGATGCATCTGATGATGGCATATCATCGACCGCTTCTCGCACAAAGGATGGACTGGGGCTTAAACCTCCGGGCGGAGGAGTGGCTTCAAGGAATTCGTCAACTTCAGGCAAGCGCTCATCCAGGCCATCTCCGGCAGGTGTGGCAGGTTCTGGCACACGTTCCATGGGAGGAAATTTCCAGAACTTAGATCTGGCCTCATCCGGCACGAACTCCCCAGATGCAATGTAACGCAGCATGACTTCAAACCTTTGAACCGACCCAATCGACAGGTCGTATGAGTACACAGCCTCTGTGCCTCGCACGCTGTCACTGTGGTGGCCAAGGATGCACTGGTCCTCCTTTGACATACCATACTTCCCTACCCAGGAGAGGCCAGTGTGCTTAAGGGAGTGCGAAGTGATTTTTCGATCCCCGACATCAAAACCCTTAGAGGTCAAGAAAAGCTGAAGAAAAGTGGACACTTCCCCCGTGGTGATAGGCCTGCTGGCAAGCTCGCCATCACGCATGTAAGGGCTGAGGAAAGGCTTATCGCAACGCTCTTCAAAGCGAATGCCCAGTTCATTGAACACCTGCCACAGCTCATTCCCAAAAGGAATGCCGTCAACTCCCAAGAGCGGAACAATCAAGGGAAGTAAAACACGCTTCTTCTGAGAGAGGTTAGAGGTTTTGTGCCATCCAATCCGCAGTACCAGATAGCCACTGCCGTCTTCACCAACATCCCAAGTTGCATCGTGAACAGAATCAAGGTCAGATACACGGCACCTTGCATAAATGCACACTAGGCAGAAGAAAGCCAGAGCACGGCCCATAACCTGGGCATCGCAATCCTTGGAGAAAATGTGCAAGGCCTGACATTCGGACACCATGAGTGGATCTGCTTGCATTAAGAAAGTCTTGGTGGCTTGCATTTGCTCAGACGACCCAATGCATCGTCTGGAAATGATGTCAGCGGCACCTGCAGAATCCAGTACATGATGCGCCCACCTAAGGGCAGAGAGCACGTCACCTGCTTGAGACGTCTTCCCTTCAGCCTGCAGGTGCTGTACGAACCTCCACAACGTGGCGTCAGAAAAGATGCTATCAGGGCTGCATCCAACGGAGTCCGACCACCTAATGAACCCTAGCAAAGCGTTAGCCCTCTTAAGAATTGTGCCAGGCGCCTTTGTGCCAAAGGACGCACGCAGAGAATCGACATGATCCTGTGTGGTGCTTGCCGAGTCAGCCGCATGGAACCTCCTGCAAACGATTTCCCATTTGGAAAGAGCCTTGTCAATTTCATATGCCCTTTTTGCAAGAAAATCCTTATTAGATAAATTCTTGAAGGCCTTGGAGAAAAACGCATTCCCTGGAGGCAGCTCGGGCGGTGCATGCTTTTGCACATGGGTTCCTGCGGCAGGTGGCTGCGACTCAGAACCTACTGGCGCGGCACGGGTGCAGGCAAGTTGAAGGCTTCAAAAGGCTCATCTCCAAAGATGTGGCCCAATATACCTTGCTCCCAAGGAAATAAAGGTGAGTCTCCTAGAATAGAACCGGAAGGAAACCCCCCATTACCCGCCATGCTGAGGCCGCTCACCGCAGCTGGACTTCGAGTTCCTGCAACCTACGGGAAAGGCGCGCAATCGAAATGCCCTGCGATTCGGGTCTGGCAAGCAGAAGCTGTCGTATCACGGTGACACGGTCTTCAAGTCGTGCAACGCGAGCCGCCTGAGTGGCGGCCTCTGACTCCAAGCGGCCCCGGATGAGAAGAAGATCTTGATCTGTGCCTCTGCGTTGGGCCTCAAGATTGTCCAGATGGTCCTCTTGAAAAGCCTGAGCACTTTGGGTCTGTTCCTGGAGCGCAGCAACAGTTTGCTCAAGTGATTGCAGACGGCGCTTGGTATGACGCAAATCCCTAGAAACCAGCGAAAGGGAAAAGGCACTTGACGAGGATTCACCGTCTGAGCCTCCGTTGTCCATGCGCAGGGACGCACACTCACACACCCATCTGCTGACCTAGGGTCAGCGTGCACGGGCGCCTAGCGCGCAACTGGTTTTTACCGGGGCCTCGGATCTGCTAGACACGGTTACAAGCCTCTAGCGGCCTTCAAAATTTTTCTGGCCAAGAGCCACACACTGCAAACGTCAAGGCATGGTTCATGCTTGTCCATTTGTCAAATGTTGCCTGCGCAACTCTCAAGAAAAGTTTTTGTTTTTCCTTAGGTGCAAAAGACAAATTGGCTCAAACAAATGTTGCCCCACATGCAAAATTTAACATCAACTCAACAATAAAACACTCTCCCCTTGCGCGGGGGCGAAATGCATTGTAACCAAAACTCCTAGACCTAGATAAAAACGATAAGCTGACCAAGTGGTTAAAGGCCTAGGAACTTATCAGGCAGGAGTGCATCCAACATGGGTGAAGAGAAGGTTGTTGTTTCGGACAGCAAGAGTAAAGGGAACAGCGTACCTGGAATGATGGCAGGAAACCTGCAGTTGTGTCAGCGCACTTTCGATTGCGTTTCTGCCTTTCCACACGCAGGTCACCTTCAGACGATACAAGATGGCCAGCGTCTCAATGAAAAGCATTTATACTTCCCTCTTGGCAAGGTCACCAATTCTGTGCAGCTTCAGGTCTCCCTGTCCACCCACTCAGGCAAGGTAGGAGCAGTGCGTCAGGTGCAGCAGGTTGATACCAGTCGGAAGTCAGAAGCTCAGCTTGCTTGCAGACTTTAGATTGCGCACCTACTCCCTTAGGGTGAGGGCAAAAGCAGATGCCAAAACTCGCGCAGACAGTTGGCTCAATCGCCCATCATGGATCAGTCCAAGCGCGCTCGGCGATGGTACTGGGCCTTCATTGAAGGCACCTGGCATCAATTCTGGCGCACAGCCTGGCGGTCCCTTGAGCTTGACAGCCGCCAGGCGGAGTCTGCGCGCCCACCGCCTACGCTATCAGATGACACTGCGCCAACAAAGCCAAGAAAGCGCAAAGCAGAAGAAGATGACGAGTGAACGCCAACAGCGAATTAGCTGCAAGTCTTTCTAGCGATTATGTTGGACGCTGCAGTGCACTAAGCGCACAAGAAGGTCAATTTGAGACGCACACCTCAGTACCAAAAACAAACAGTGCGGCAACATGGCGCCGGTGGCACGTGGCAACGGCGACGGCTGCAAATATTGCCACGCTGCAGAATTTGAGCTGATGCCCTGGCAGCTTGAGTCTACACAAAACCTTCGCAGCAAGCAACATGGGGACACAGTAGCAGTGAGAGATGGACCTGGGTTCTCATCTGCAGCTTTTTCACCAAGAGGAGACGCCGGCAGGCATGTTCAGATGTGACATAACTGAGTTGAGTGCACTCAAACGCTTCAACGGTGTCCTCTCTCTCCGAAAGGCGATGCTGACTCAGATCTCTAACCTGGCCGCACATGTATGGATGCATCAAGCCTCTCCTACAAGAAGGTAAGCGATTGCAGTGTCACACTATTTCCTGCCATTCCGCGTTAATAATTGGTGTTTCTCCCTCCGTAAAATGGAGTTCAGCTGATTCTCAGAAGATTTTAAATTAGTTAATTGTTCTTAGAAAGTCTGATTGGGTTGGTTGGTTGACCGCATGGTTAAAAAGCGTTATATAAAGCAACTTTGACACCTTCTCTTACGATATTTTCTGCACCTCTACCAACCTCTTCACATCTGCAAAAGGACCGCTTATCGGGATAATTGTTAAATGGTTGGAGGCAGCGGCGATACTTAAATTCTTGCAATAGTGAAAGTTTTAGACTTTTCTCACTGCGGTTGCAATCTATTGGGGTGTGGTTTGAGCTTACGCGCAGCGATGAAACATACTCTCAGTATTGGGCTACAAAGTTCAAAGGGACATGTACAGAATCGAAATGTTTGTTACGCCCTTTTCGACTTGCGTGGTGCTATTCATCCACCAACGTCGAACT